GCCTCTCCTGATGAAGTCAACTGCTGGCCCCGGGATGTTCATTAATTCCTGGGCCAAATCACCATTTTGCCACATGGAACGATAATCTCTTATAGACGCAGATAATTTGTATTAACATCCGCTGCTACCAAGACACTTAATAACTGCCTTCAGGGTTCCGCAATAACAATGCTCTTCAGTTTTCAATCTTGATTTACTTAAAAGAGCATCGTCTTTTGTGGGAGATGGGGAGAGAAAAAACTATTTTGCAGACTTTTTTCACTTGTTCGGTCAGGTCTTTCTTCTACTGTTGACCTTCTTATCTCTAATCTCACAATCATTAAAGTACCAAAACAAGCTCTGCAAAAGCTGACAAAATAGGGCAGTTCAGCTCAACTCCTTTTAGCAGCAACATCAGAAAAATAATCATCCCAAACCTCTGCACCTGAGAAGGCTGGTGAGAAAAGATGGTGTTAGTGACAGGCCAGAGCTGGAGTTACAAGGGTGACTAAGGCAATAGTTTATGAGTAAGAGATGAGAACCAATGTGAGGCAGAGTAATAGTCATTCCACTCCATTAACAAACTTTGAATCCAGCAATCTGGCAAGCAACAATGACAAGGATATTTTTTTAATTAAGGTTGAATCAATCAGAAAGAACAGAACGGTCCCTTTCTGCAACTGGTTTTGCATTCCCTATTCCGCCTATCTTTGCTTTTTTATGGACATTGCCCTGCTGTGCTCTTAAATCCACTCAGCCACTGGGTTCAGATCCTTCAACTCGTGTTACTTGGAACCCTTGCGGCTGGAAAAGAAAGGAGACTTTTATCTTGTCAGTCTGGCCTGAAATTGAACCTGTCTCCTCAATGTGTTCAGCATTTTGATTTTTCTACTGTGGCGGAATAAAATATAATAAATAGCTTCAGTTCTCCGGCTTTACAACTGTCTGAGAGCTGGAACGATTTATTGCCACAATTGGTGTCTATTTCTTCATGATTTTTGAGAAGGTGAATCCTCTGTTTTTATTTATAAACAAAAGTCCTAGATATTTTATTCGTATTGCTTCCAATCGATGGTAAACTTCCATGGCAACCCACTTGGTAGTGTTGCTGAAGAGTAATTTGCAATCTGAAATTTTACACCTCGAGCTGCTATAGGAAAGATTTGTTTCCACGAAGTTAGACGAAGTTTGCCTACAAATACTCAGTCACTACACTTAACAGTGATAACTAAAGCGTTTCGAGCTATTTTGACCTTATTGGTGCTGTATCAAATGCCACGGATTATTATTACGATAAAGTGTTGACACAGATGGATTCTATACTAACTTGTTAATAATAATAATTCTTGCGTTTGATATCGCGCCTTATCACATCTTCGAGATCTTGAAGCGTTTCACAGGATATACTGTAGTGTGTAGTGACTGTGTGGTTTGTGGGTGAAATGCGGAAGCAATTAATGTCAATGCATTGTGACCCTATTCAGCACGTAGAATGCTTCATGAATGCAAGTTGTTGTGGTTTAAAAATTGTGCTGCAATCCTTTTGGAGAGTGAAACAATTAAATTGGTTATTCGGTGTGGGAATCGCTTTGTTTAAACGCAATTCTTTTCACTGTCCATGATGTTGAATTTTGGAACAGGTTTTGGTACCGTAGACATGAGAATAAGTAACAGTTGCAGCCAATGTAGTCGCACTGGTCTTTGAGGATTTATGGCATTCTAAACATAGTATTCCTCTTTATACCTGATTTTCAAATATCCTCTCAATATAGCCCAGCATCCTGTTTGAATTATTTATTGCTACTCACACTGTTTTCACATAGTGAGAACTAAGTCAACTAACACACCTAATCCTGTTCTTTCCCATCTATGAAGTACATAGGTTTCCTATTCTTACTTCCTATGTGCAGTACACAACTTCAGTTGCAAAATGCATGGCATATATTTCCTAAGGTAGAGAGTGGAGCTGTTGTGTTTAACATCCAAGCTTTTTATTTATTTTAAGAGTTCTGTAATAGACACATTCTGCATAGATATATTCAGCTGAGTGCGTAAAATCAGACTAAGAGTTACAAATTTACATTAATTGACACACTTTCACTTCATTACAGGTGGATCTTATGATACTCTAAAGTTATTTTGCTAAGTGATAATGAAGTGTTTCTGACAATCTTTAGGTATTAATGCTTTACAAGCTTTCAGGCATTTAACTTAAAATCCATTTGCACTTCAGCATGAGTGAGACAACATCAGATGCACTAAATGAATTCATGACTTTTTCAATCGCTGTTAGCTTGAAGCACAGGTGAAACTTATTATACTGTGTTTAGTGTTCAAGTGATGAGCTATAAAGTACTACCAGATGACCTAGGGATCTAAAAAAAAAGAGGTTTCAAAGGCGATCTTAGATGTACAAGATGCTTAATCTGCCTGTTCAGGTGGACGTTAAAGGTCCAATTGGCACCACCTGAAAAGAGAAAGGCATTTGTCTTTCTGTCCTGGCCAACAAATCCCGAGATAAAATTGGACCTTCATTTTGTGGCTGTTTGTGGGACATTGTTGTGTGCAATTTAACAGCTGCAAAACACACATTCACTACACTTTACAGTGTATCCTGTGAAGCGCTTTGAGACATCCTCCTGACATGAAAGGTGCAATGTCAAGCATAGGAATTATTAATTTTACTGATGGAAAAAATAAATCCAAAACAATACGTTAAGATATTTCTGATTCAGACACACAAAAATGAGGGGCAGAAGAGGTTAGGAGTTCAAACTAAGAATGGAATGCTTATTGCTGGTGTGTGACGGTTTCCAATTCCTATCACTTCTAGTCTTGGCATTGAATCATGGAACCAAGAGTGATGATGCAGTGTATCACTTGTGTCTGATATTGTTTACATATATTCAGAAATGCCACCCCCCCCCCCCCCCTCACCCCTTATCCTACTCCGTACCCGCACACAGATGTGGGCACTGACTGCACAAAGTAGAATTCAGTGCCACTTATTTTATCATCTGACGACATTCTGATGTGCCCCTCACCAGCAGAGAAGTCATTCTTTAGGCAATTTTGCAGTTTGCTCTGACATATGAATAACATTACCCAGGGCATGCTGCAATACAGAAAGGTCTTGCAATTTCATAGCCATTTGAATACCATTAGATGTGTACCATAGTACAAAGGTTAGAATCCCAGCCCAGCACACATCTGCTGATCTTCCTCCTCTTGCTCACTCAGTATTATTTGATTTGGCTTCAAGTTAAGTCTCACCAGAATAACTGAGGAAACTAGAGGAAATGTGAGTTTATCACTTGATTTGTAGTTTAGTGATTGTACAGATGTTATGAGAACAGCTGTCTCAAGTTGGTCGAAAGTAGGTAACTTGCATTTAGCCTTGAGCTCAGCCACCCCAGGTATGAGTTTGCTCTTTTGCTGATTGATGACTACAATGCTGCCCTACGTTTTCCAGAGCTGTCTATATTTTGTTTATTTGCTTCTCATACATAATCTTCGACCGTGTCTTCGGTCACCCTCCTCCCCCACCCACCCCCCAACCCACCCTTGTCTGAAACTCGTAAGTTGGAGCATCCACTGTGTTGATTTGATACAATGCAGCTCATGTTGTGTGTGCGTGGGGGGGTGGGGGAGGGGGGAAGCAAGTAGACTGCAAAAAAGGTTCAGCTTATAAAATTTGCAATTGTAGATGTGTTTTGATGTCTTCTAATATCTTCCAAAGTGTTATGCTAATTTTGTTTGAGAAGCTATGAAATTAAAACAACACCCTTTTTCTGATGATGATAGGTTTCAGAATTCCATTGTTAATAGACTCAACATCTTGAAATCACAGGTAAAGTAATACATTTTAAAGTGGCGGTCAATGGAAATCTCACAGTATCTCATTAACAGTTGCTTTCCAGGTTAAAGGATTTGTTAGTATTGTAGAAATAACTCAGAACATAAAAGTATTGCTGACTGCATATTTCAAATCAGCCTCTGGAATTTCCCTGAATCGATGGGATACGGGTATATATGTATTTAACACAAAGGGTTAAAGTACTCGAAAGGGTACTGTGTAACATGAAACAAATGATCCGTCTGATCAGTGTGGGGCCAGGAATGGAATTCTTCATTCTTGCCACATTTATAAATAGTTTCAAAGATCTCGATCCGAGCTTTGAGAATGTTCAAAATAAAGTCTTAAAACGATAGCAGATTCTGTGGCTGCAGCTAAGTTCAATATCTGTGAAGTGTTGGAGCTGAATCTTCTGACTAACGACAGGCTCATGCTGTGGTGGTGAGACATTTGAGATGTATGCTTGGTTCAAGGAATCTCTTTCTGCGAAAGGCAACTGGTGTGGAATACATAAGTTTCCTTGATTTCCTTGTGGACATGGGAGAAAACTTAAAAGGAATTGGCCTCAGATAATCAAAGGAGTTCATTTTAAAAATAGCTAATTACAAGGGGCCTGCGGAAGGAAGAAAGAATGGGTTTGACAGCTTGAATGACCTCTTCTCTGACTTTTTATATATATATATATATCTTGCTCCATGCTATTTTTCATAAACATGGTTTCACTATAATATGGTTCTATTGAAAAGATTGGCATACACGGTGTTACCTTTACCCTAAATTGATGAATCTAACATGTGGCATGGAGCAAACATGTTAAAAGGTACAGATGTTGAAATGTACATTCCGGAGAGGCAAGGGTTTTAAGAGACATTTCTTTGGTTGAGAATATTGAAGGAAACATCTTGTGGGAAATTGAATGGGAAGGCTAGCCCTGCCGGGAATGATTGCTGTTCTGTTACCACATGGTTTGATTCAGTTTATGGTTCAGCGTGTGCCTAATATGCTGATTCTTTCAGGGGAAATGATTTCTGCTATCTTTAGCACAGCTGTCCGACCAGTGAGGGCTGACGTTTTACTTTATATCATCTCCAATTCTCCCCAGAGTCAGATGAGGTAATCAATTGCTACCATTGTTCGAATCGTTGTAGTGACATTACCTGCCGTAGGAAACCTAGCGTTTCTGCCCACCCTGGAAACAAGCAAACAGCTGCCGCGCAGAGTGGGAGACTGAAAGCATATAAGAGAACAGGTACGAGTTTTTTTTTAAAAAAAGTTTGAATTTTTAAATAAAGCAAGAGGTCGTATCTCATGAGATGTTAAACTTGTGTCCCGTCTTCCTGTTTTGTAATTTCAAGTGGACGTTAAGGATTGTGTGGCATTAATTTGAAGGTCAGGGAATTGACCTTGGTTTACATTCCTGGATGATCCACAATTCACCCAACAAAAGTGTGTGAAGCATTCACTGTCAGTAACGATACAGATGCAGTTGTAATAACGGTCACGATACTTCACTCATTGTGTGAATCACTTGGTGATGTTTCAGCATCGTGAGGCATTGTACGTTTAATTTATATTATTATTAAGTGTACTGTAAGAGTAGGATCAGTGATTGTGATGAAACAGTGAGTGACAGCTGTTTCCTACACTGCCTTTACTGGGATATGATAGATAAATTGATGTTGCGATTTTTCTAATCCAAGTTGTCCTCAACACAACAATGACAGAAGTGTAATCGTTGAACTCTTGTAGAAGACAGCAAATATGCGGCAACTTGGTGTGAGTTGGTCCAATGCACAGTATTAATGTGACACATTGCTTAGATCCTGCATAGTCCTCGAAATATGTATTGGCAGTGATGTCAATCACAAGCAGTTCAGATGAAGAAGACCCCTTTGTCCCATGTAGTTCTTATTCTTCCAGACTGCCATTACCACCTTAACAGGATCAAGCTACTTCTTGAATGAGTTCCAGCGTCCTGGTCTCTACCAACCTTATCGGCAATCTGTTCCACTTGTTGATTGCCCTCTGTGTAAAGAAATAGTTCCGGTGTCTGTCCTGAAATTGCCCTTCACAAACCCTGGATCTGTGCCCATGATGAGAAGCAGAGGGAACCAGAGAACAATCTGCCTGCTGCTGTCAGATTGCTGTGTCCAATGAACAGCGTGTTCAGATTGGCTTTGATTTAAAGGGGATTGCCGTCCTGACACGGAATTTTCAACGCAGAGGATCCACAGTTCAGTGTTGTTCTGAAGCTGATGACGTTTCATGTTAGAAATGCATTTTATAATCGTTTGACATTTGAAATTGCAATAAATGAATCCCGGCAGATCCTTGTGTGCCTGGAACCTGGACAGCTGCCACCCTTTCAATCGACTTCGACAGGTAACATATTGGTATCTAGTTTGCGGCTTTGGTCGGAAACCCCTGTTCACAATTTTACGGGTCGTGCTAACCATGTGTAAACATAGGTGATTCCACAATCCTTTACATTGGTTATTACATAATTAAGGGAACCTCATAGAAATTTACAGCATAAAAGGAGTCCATTCAATCCATCAAGTCTGTACCAGCTCTCAGAGCAAGCTGCATTTCCAATCCCACTGCCTTGCCCTATCTTGAGATGCCTCTAATCTGTATGACTTTTTATATGTTTACTCCAGCTTGCAAATTTTACACATGGGCTGTTAACCCAACCAACAAATTAGAACCCAATTAATTCAGGTTAACCAATGTCTTAAAACCAGCAGCAATGCTGGCACATAGGCAACTTCGTCAATTGAAATTAAGTAAGATGAGCTATGTAATACATTTGTACTTTTTTTGCCAACAATCCACTACTCGGCTTCTTCAATGGGAGTTTTTTTTAGTAAGTTCAATATTTATTGTATTTCCTTAATGTGACAATGATATTTAATTGTTCAGCGACATGAAATTGAGCTGCACCAAAGACACATGTATAAATGAGCTAATTAATGCTGTAAAATCTATTACCTTTGGAGAGCATGCTGAATATGGAGAAAGCTTTGTGTAATCTTGAGCAGTATTTGATATAGTTATGGCAACAGAGAGACAGAGGGATGCTGTTAAAGATATCCTCCTTCCTTTAAATTATTCAGCGTGACAATTATGATTTGCATTTAACAGTTTAATGGAAACCCTTGATCCTCTTTGCTTCATGGCTTTCAATAGCATTGAACATGTTGGGGTGACAAGCATGAGAAAAAGGCTCCTGTAAGTCAACAGGGCACCAAAGTGGGTTATTACATAAAGTTAAATCAGCAATCTGCAAATCAGACAACAGAGTGGTATCTGCTGGTAGGAGTTTTACATTCCAAACCTGTTAAAACACTGGTTCAAGTTTTATTTCAGTCGACTGAAATAAAAACATATTTAAGCGTGTCTGTCTGAATAATGTGAATTATGTAATATTCAAGGAGAAGACATTGAATATTAATGTGAGGAGGATTATCCAGAGCAGTCTGCATCTCTGAAATAGACACAACTGCAGTTGTATTGAATCTTTTTTTTAATCTTGTTTCAATTGTATGGTCGTCCTCAGGAAGATGCTTCTATTTGTCTTGATGCAATTTTAGTATATTAACTGCTAACGCCTTTACCTCACTCCTACCACTGCTGAGCCCTTAACCGTGTTTTGATCACCTTGAGGAGAGATTTTTCCAACTCTTTCACATTGTTGATCACCTCAGATTCATTCTGCAGAAGCTCTGAATGATCCAGAGCTCCTCAGCAGCCTGCCTTCCTCTGCAGAAGCCTCCACACACCCATTACCCCAATTCTTTCCAAGCTGCATTGGCTGCAAGCTGCACTCCAGTACCTCACAGCACTGAGTTTATTATTATAAGATCCTAGTTTTCCAATCCCTACATGATCTCAACCACCCCACCATACCCTCGCAGTCTTCTTCAGCCCTACATTCCATTGCATAACCTACCCTCTTTCTAGAGCTTCTTTATGGAATGAATGCTATTCATTGAGCAAACTATGAACTAATGAAAGTCAACCAATAGAGAGATCTATATCTGAATGGTAGATAAAATTGGGATTGATGCTGGAGTACTGTGATAGGCTGTTATCCACCTGTTGTGGACATTTTTTTAAAATAATGCAATCTTTTTATATCTATAGGTGTCGAAATAGCACAGGTTTTGAAAGCTGTATGTATGGAATGCAGCCTTTTGAATCTTTGGTGTCCAGCTTGATTCTTATCGCACTTAATATTGCTCCAGAGATATGGTTCATGCACAGTTTTATCAACATATGCAAATGTTTGACATAAATGTTTATTTCATGCGTTCAACTAAGATGGATCAACTGCAATAAAATAACCATAAATAAATAATGGAGTGTTCACTTTAGAGCAGTTGTACCACCAGAATAGTTCAGGGGTAATTTTCCTGGAAAGCTGAAAGGAATTGGATAATGTTTTGGAATTTGTGTATCCTGTTCTTAATTAATAATAAATAGTTTTTATGAAACATTTCAAAATCTTCTGCTATCATAGTTAATGCCTCCCCAAAGGCATTGGTGTGCTTAAAAGTATTCAAATTTGCTGTATTTCTATTTATTACAGTGGAATAACAGCTTTTTTAGAAATTAAACATATTATTTATTGATAGATATGTATACATTCTTGGATTTTTTTCTTAAATGCTTGTACAGCTTATAAAACTTGCTTCATCTTTTGAGGATCATTTGTAGCAATACCAAATGGAGTTGAAACAGGTTTGCTTGAGTCTCCTCTGTGTCGCACACTGTGTTACACAGTGGCTTGCATTTGGCTCAGCTCATGGGAATCAATGTCACCACAAGGTTTGCACTCCAAGAAGAGCAGAGCATGCTGAGTGAACAGAGTTTAATGTCTGTGTTCTGAAGTCCCACCTCTTTTACCGCGCTTAGGGTCATCTCCTTCCAATCCACCCTCCCCTGCAGCTCACCAACCCTCTCGATAATGTAAAGCACTCTGAGATACTATTTCACGTGAAGGGCGCTGTATAAATGCATGCTGATGTTGCCTACCTATTGAGGCTCATTCCACATTAAACTATTGTCCCCACAACAATTGGATGGTTAGTAATGATCAGGACACTAAGATCTCAAGCACGAGCCAATCGTTGACTCCTTGTTTAGAGTCAAAGTTGTGATATCGAAGATGTTGAGATGTCACCTCACCAATTATTGTTAATCCGTCTTGAGTCCATCTCACGTAGACTTGCTAAGAACTATACGTATTTCATCAAATCTGACTTGTTGAGAAGAATATTAAATTTCAAGCAGTGCAGAGCTTCCTGTAACTTTGCTCAGTCAGTGCAGGGCGCCTCTGTATCTCCTGAGCTGTGCATTACTCAGTTCATGCTCCTGTCCTGTGCAATGGCGTGTTCAGCCCACACAGCTGTCCTTTGTGATTTGTGTAACAGAGTTCTCTTGTCTAAACACTGTTCAATACTTATTAATGTGCAGCCAACACTGCACTTCAGATACTTGCTCATAAGGAAATGAAGGGAATCCTGTAAAAACACTGGCAGACATTTGATAACATCAGAGGGGTTCATTCTTTAGAAAATTAAAGAAACAGTGAAACCATTTGTATCATCTATACAAGTCACGTTATGAAGTGACTTTGGCAATAATTATTGAATGAGGCCAGGATCATGCTTTTACAGTACCTTGTGTGATTTGGATCTTTTTAGGTATCTTATCTGGAAAAATAAAATGTCATCTTCTCTGTGTCTTAACAAGACAATGCCAGCAAAAAGAACTTTAGCTGTGAAGCCAAACCAGACTAGCTGGGTTGAAACCCAAAAAGTGTCAGTCAAGTGCGCAACAGAGTATTTACTCCAACACTTTCCTTCCAGCAGGCTCTTGTATTTTCTTGAGTTAATTTGTTTGGTTCCTTAATTCATACGTGCTCTGCATTTGAAAGAATAAGTCGTTGTGGGTTTTGAAGATATTAAAGTGCTTCAATGGAAATCTCAGAGAAGCATATGCATTCTATCTCCAGTCTCCCAGCATTTGAGTGCTCCACTCCTGAAATCCTCGTGTCAAATCAGAAACTTCCTGGCTTCGACATAATGAGATCAATAAGATGATATTTTGGAGTGGTTCAATTTTTCTGCATTTCAGCTTTTAACAAAAATCCAATTTGTAATTTTTTTTTATAGAGTGGCACTTAACTGCCTTCTTCAAATTTAATTCCATCTGTTCTTAAAATTAGTTGAATTGAATTCCTAA